CGCGGACCCCGAGGGGTGGCCCCGCCCCCGGACCTAGGGGGGGCCCGCCGTAGGGGGCGGAGTTGTCGCCGCCCCCCATCCCGTGGGACTGCGGACCCTTCTTAAGTCCGCGGAGGCGCTCGCTACTCCTCACTCTTCTTTCCCGCTAGTCTCCCTCCTGCGCGATGGCTTCGGCGCTGAGCTATGTCTCCAAGTTCAAGTCCTTCGTGATTTTGTTCTTCAGCCCGCTCCTGCTGCTGCCACTCATCATTCTGATACCCGCCAAGGTCAGTTGCTTCTCTGGGCAGCCCAGTGTCCAGTAAAAGGCACGGAACTAGGAGCACTGAGCTGGAACGCACGGACTCCCTGGCGGGGACAACTCCCCTGGGGCGCGCGCACTCCGGAGCTGCAGGTGCCTAGTGGGAGCTGCTCCGCAAAGAACCCCGAGAGGCACAGAGACCCGAGGGTGCACCCCCCCGGGGGGTCGCGGATTCCAGGGCCAAGCACGGAGACCTGGATGTGAGCCGAGTTTAGCCAACAGAACCTAGCGGTAGCCTGCGCCTCTGACTCAGAAGCCCCCCAGTGCAGAACCCCCGGCCCTCCACCCCCAAGATGCGACTCGAGCCAGCGCTGGTCTTTCCCTCACGCTTCCCTTAGTCAATGCACTCTTCTCAGCTGTAGGAGGCTTCTGACCCCAGTCAGGAACCCAGAGGAAAAGATAATCACCTAAATTGATCCTGAGTTCTACCTTCACCACTCTCTGCCCTTTTATGGGCCTCAGTTTCCTCATCTACATTTTTTTTTTTTGAGACAGGGTCTGGTTGTGTAGTTCAGGCTGGCCTTGAACTCACTCCTTAGCCCAGGCATGCCTTGAACTCCTGGCAATCGTCCTGCCTCAGCCTCCTGAGGGCTGGGATTACAGGCACGTGCCACCACGCCCAGGCCCCCATCTACATTTCTTTCCTGCTCTGAGATCAGCGAAGCCACATCTGAATCAAAGTCCTGCCCCAGGCTGAACAGCAGGAAAGAGTTGATCTGCTTTGCCCACTGCCTGCTGTGGCTGTAGCAGGAGAAGGAACATATTCCCAGAGCCCACGCCTTGGGTGGCACGGCCCAGAGTCTCAGGGAAGCTGCATCCCATGCCCTGGTCTCCTAGCCCTCCTGGGAGGGGGAGAGAGAATGAATGATCTTGGCCACAGGGCGGGGGGCGGGCCGGTGCCCCGGCCGAGACTTGGTTGTACTGTGCACAGCCCATTTGGCAGCAGCCCCGGCCCTTTGAAGCCTTTTGTGGCTGTTGGCTGCTCCTATCCCTTCCCTCTTTCAGTGCTTTCACTGGCAGCCCAGACAGGAAACCTCCAGTTCCCTCCTCCCCTCCCCAGGCAGGTTTGGGAAACAGAGGAGCTCTTCAGGGCATGCTTGGGGAGCAGTCCTGGAGAGGGATGCACTGGGATGTCAGAAAGCCACCCTGGGAGAACTGACGTCCACCACTCACTCAAGCCTGTGAGCTGCACCAAGTCCCTGTGCTCTCCAGACCTTGGTACAGTGGGGTGGTTTGGGAGTCAAAAGGGATTATGTTGCTTCCTAAGATCCGAAATTAGGAGGGGCACAGGCTCTGGATTCAAGTGTGGCGGCTCCTCAGATGCCACACCGTCAGTGAGCGGCCGTAGTTCCTCTAGGGAAAGCCGTTTGGGGCCCTCACTGTGTCAGTGGAAGGGGGCCAGGCAGAAGAGCAGTGCTTTGAGTTCTGCAGGCAGGTTGTGGTGTTCCCTGGAATGATCACAGCCCCTTGGCTGACCTTCCTGCTCCAGGGCAGCGTAACTGAGACCCTACTCCCTTTTGGCACACTTTCACACACACAGGTGAGACCCGCGCTGTGACCCGAACTTATCTCTGCCCAGTAGTGACTCGCAGGGCATAGTGACCTCTGCCACCACCGGCCCTCTCTCCAGGCTTTCTTCTTTCTTGCATCTCCTCCAACTTGCTTGCTTCCTGGCCTCATCTCTGCTCTAATTGTTCTATCCTTTCTCCGGGTCCCTTCAATAATCATTTTAATAAAATAAATGATAACTATATCTTATTTTTAGCACCTGTGTGTAGTGCATGATGTTTACGTTCTGCGTGGGGAGTTGGTACGTATGTACATAACACATCTGAACTCCTTTTTTCATCCCTTTCCCTTCCCCCACTCTCCCCTCTAACCATCTCTTGATCCCTTTCCTTTTTTAGGTTTTCATACATATTTGCAGTGCATAATGTTTATACCCCTTGCGTGTAGTTTGTACACATATATGACACATTTTCTTTTTTTAATCCCCTGTCCCTTCCCCCCATCTCTTCCCTTTCCCCTTTGAGAAAGATCTACTGTGTCTCCCTACTTCTTATTACCTCTTATTTTATTCTTTATACTTTGGTTCGCTCATATAAGAGAAACCATGCAATACTTAAGCTTTTGTGTCTAATTTACTTGACATTATGGTCTCAGAGCATATCCGTTTTCCTACAGATGACTCCAGTGTATCTTTATGACAGAGTAGGACTCCCCTGTGTATAGATACCACGTTTTCTTTCTCCATTCGTCTGTTGGTGGACATACAGACCTCTTCCAAGATTTAGTTAGTTTGAATTGTGCTGCTATAAACATGAACATGCATGTACCATTATAGTATGAAGTCTTTAACTCTTTAAGGAAGATTTCAAGAAGGGGAATGGCTGGGTCAAATGGAATTTCTAATTTCAGATTTGTGAGGAATCTCCACATAGATTTCCACAGTGGTTGTTCTAGGTGGCATCCCCACCAATAGTGTAAAAGAGTTCCCTCTCCCCTGCAGCCTCGCCAGCATTTGTTATTATTTGATTTTTTGGCCATTCTTTCTGGGGTAAGATGGAGTCTCAGGGCAGTTTTAATTTGGATTTCTCTAATGGCCAATGATGAGCATTTCTTCATGTATTTATTGGCCATTTGGACTTCTGTAAGGTGTCTATTCATTTTGCTTGCCTATTTTTTGACTGAGTCTGTTATTTTGGGTGAGTCTAAGTTTTTTGTTTTCTTTAAGGTATTTTAGATATGAGTCCTCTGAGGAATCTCTGTCGGAAATGTTTTCCCATTCTGTAGGTTTTCTTTTCACTCTGTTGGCTGTTTCTTTTGCTGTGCAGAAGCCTTTTAATTTGATACAATCTATTTGTTCCTTCTTCAGAATATTTCCGGTGCAACCAGGGTTCTGTTCAGAAAAATCCTTGCCTATGTCTATGACTTCAAGAGTTTTACCTATTTTCTTTGCAGGTTAACTTTTTTTTTTTATTTTTTTTTAACCAGGGATTGAACTCGGGTCCTTGCCCACCGAACTGCTGAGCTAAATCCCCAGCCCCTGCAGGTTAACTTTTTATTTTAACATTTAGTTCTTTGATCTGCTTTGATTTCAGTAGATAGCCAGTTTTCCCAACACTACTTTTTTTGAGGCAGGGTTTTGTCACATAATTCAAACTGTCCTTAAACGCGTGGTGATCCACCTGCCTCAGCTTCCCAAGTATTGGGATTACAGGGCACGTACCACCATGTCCAGCTTCCTAACACCATTTTTTTTTTTTTTGGTACTGGGGATCAAACTGAGGACCTTGTGCTTGTGAGGCAGCCATGGTGCCACTGAGCTAAATCCCTGGCCCCCAACACCATTTATTAAAGAGGTTATCTTTCTTCTGTATGGTTTTGGCCCTTTTGTCAAAAATCAGGTGCAGTAGCTGAATATGCAATCTAGTTGTTCCTGTATCCTCTATTCTGTTGCTTTGATCCTCAGGTCTGTTTTTGTGCCAGTACTGTGCTGTTTTTATCACAGTAGCTTTTAATATAATTTCAGGTGGTGCCTCCCAAGTTGCCCTATTTACCCGGGATTGATTTTGCTATTCTGGGTCTCTTCTGGGTTTCATATGAATTGTAGAGTTGTTTTTTTCAGTTCTGTGAAGAATGCTGTTGGAATTTTGATTGGGATTAAATCTGTTGGAAGTGTGGCCATTTTGACCATATTGGTTCTGTCTCTCCAGGAACAGGGGATAGCTTTCCATTTTCTGATGGCCTCTTTGGTTTCCTTTTTCAGGGTCCTGTAGTTTTCACTGTAGAAGTCTTCCACTTCCTTAGCGAGGTTAGTTCCTAAGTATTTATTTTTCTTGGTGCTGTCGGGAATGCTATTTTTTCTTAAATTCTTTCTCAGTGGGTTCATTATTGCTGTACAGGAAGGCTATTGATTTTTGTGTGTTGATTTTGTATCCGGTTACACTACTGAGCTTAGTTATTAATTCTAAGAGTCAGTTGTGAATTTTTTGGGGGGCGATCTTTTTTGTATAGGATTGTATCACCTGCAAATAATGATAATTTGACTTCTTCCTTTCTTATACATATCACTTTTCTTTTTCTTGCCTAATTGCTCTTGATAATGTTTCAAGTACTATGTTGAACAAGAGAGCTGATGGCTGCCAGGGATTTAGCTCAGTGGCACTGTGCCTGCCTTGCAAGCGCAAGGTCCTGAATTCGATCCCCAGTATAAAAAAAAAAAAAAAAAGAGTGGTGATGGTGGACAACCTTGTCTTGTTCCTGATTTTAAAGGAAAGGCTTTTAGTCTTTTCCCATTTAATATTATGTTGACAGTAGATTTTTCATATATAGCTTTTACTGAATTGAGATTAGATCATTCTATACCTATTTTCTTCACTGTTATTTATTTATTTAGAGACAGGGTCTCACTATGTAGTTCAGGGTGGCCTTGAACTCAATATGTAGCACAGGCTGGCCTTGAACTCACAGGGATCCTCCTGCCTCAGCCTCCCAAGTGCTGGGATTACAGGAGTGTGCTACTACACCCAGCTTCTTCAGTGTTTTTTTAATCATGAAAGGATGTTGGATTTTTTTCAAAGGCTTTTTCTTCAGCTATTGAGATGATCATGTGGTCTTTTTTCTTGCTTCTGTTTATGTGATGCATTATATTTATTGATTTGCATATATTGAACCATCCTTGTATCTCATGGTTTGCTTCGCAAAGGTGTATGATCTTTTTGATGGTTTGTTGCATTCTGTTTGCTCACTTTGCTTTTGTGATGTGGGCATTCACAGCTATACTTTCCTTCTTAGGACTGCTTTCATTTTGTCCCATAAGTTCTGCTTTGTTGTACTGATATTATTATTCAGTTCTAGAACTGTCTTATTTCTTCCTTGATTTCTCCTGTAACCCATTGTGGATTTGTTATTGTTGTTAATGTTTTGCTTTTGGGGGCTTTTTTTTTTTTTTGAGACAGGTCTTAA